AGAATAGCCACTAGGATTCTGCAGTTGAGGTCAACATTCCTGAATTAGGGAAGAGAAAATCAGCTAGGGTTCCCTCTCTTTTCCAGGAATCCAGCTGAAAGTGCTGAGTCTTTCCCTTTGACTCATTTTCAGGCTTGAGTATCCACCTTTTAGGTGTTGGTAGTTGTTTTATCACACAAATTACTTCTTTGCGTCCTTTGCACTATTTATCTATTGTGTATGTGCCAGATTGTTAACAAATCCTAGTTTGTTATTTATCATATTCAGAACAGTCAGTCCCCTTGACAGGTCTGAAACATCTTGTTCTAGCTCACTGCCCTAAATACATGAGCTTTCCACTTCTCCCAGTCTATGAAAGTTAAAATCTTTCATTATAACCACATTATTTTTGCTATGTACTATAGCCACCTCTGTACCTATACATCATTATTATCAGGCAGTCTGTAGACAACACCATACATCCTTTCCTGATCTATAGTTCTCTTTCTCAAGATCTTTCCACTGCCTGATCAAACTTACTGAAATCCTCTGTTTCCATTACTGTGACCCCAACACATAACGATTTAAAACAAAAACAAAATAACGATCTGCAAATGCTGAAGATCTGAAAAAAAAATCAGAAATTGCCAAAGAAACTCAGCAGGTCTGGCAGCATCTATGGAGACAAAACACAGTTAACATTTCAAGTCCAGTGACTCTTCTTCAGAACTGATTTCTGTTTTGCTACATATAATGATTCTTGTCCCTAACTCTCCGCTCCTAATTTCTCTATGCCTTTGTTATTTCAAGTGACTTTGTTCCAAGCTGAGGAACAATTACCCAGGTGGGCTTTCTTCAATAAATGTCAATGGCTCATTGAGCTGCGAGGGAAAGTCATCTCTGAGCCTGACCCTGTAAGTACCTAGTGTACACGGTCAGCAATCTCTGATTTGTAATCTGGAGCACAAACACAGGCTAGCTTTTGCTTTTAATCCTGAGGCACTGAAAACAATCGCTGTAACTAAGATTTGCTCACTCAGTACAAACCAGTAGCTGAACGTGGAATCTTTTGTATCTTGATTTCTGCCATTCACTGAATAAATGTTGAGCCATCAACAAATTCTTCATTGTGAACTTGATATCAGTTTGTCTCAACTTAGAATAAACAACATTAACTAAAAGGTCTTTCTAAGGCTCTTAGATGTTTTATTTGGAAAAGAATTTAAGGTGACATGTTACGCTCAGTGATTGAAACATAATAAAAAAAAATATATGTATTGGAGTTAAATGAAACATTAGCTTTTGAAGTTGAACAATGGTGGAGGAGTGACAGTGCCGAGTGGCAGAATGATGCTGAGGTTTCTTCCTGGTTTGGTTCTATGGTTAGCGCATTATATGATGCAATGTAATCAGGATGCTGTAAATGTTGTTACTATTGAATAAAAAATTTTCTAAAAGACTCCATTACTTTGAGTGATGAAGGTCATGGGTTCAAGCTCCATTCCAGGACTTTTATATATATACTAGAAGCTCACACTCAGGTGTAGTAATAAGGGGTGTTGTTGTTTGGGAGGCTATTATTAAACTGAAACTGATGCTCCTTAGGTTGTTAAAAGTGAGTTAACAATTGCACTGAGGATGTTACCAAGCACGGTAACGAAACGTCTGCAGAACAACAAACCAACTTGGCAAGCCAACCAACCTCAACACCCACAACCCGAGCTACAGATCTACTCCAAAACCCTTGAGTTAACAAAAACCCCATAGTGCTATTTGAAGTGAAGGGAGTTCATGTCATTACCTGGCCTACATCTGTCTCTCAGTCAAAAGGAAAAGCAGATTAATAGGCCATTTATGTTATTTTGTTTGTAAGGCCTTGCTATGCACAAATTGAACGTTGTGTTTGTCTGTAAAACAATGATGCGACATTCCTAAAAAAATCATTAGCCACAAAGCATTTGTAATGTCCTGAAGATTTAATAAGATTGTATTGAAAGATAGTTTTTGTACGACACTGTTGTCAGTCTTATGAAGACCATTAAATGTATATGTGTGTATCATCAGCAGCCTGCTATAATATAAAAGCATCTAAAATCCTATCACTCAATTTCAACAGAGAGACTGAGAGGGTAGGGGTGCATGGAGTTTACAAACAAAGAGTATGTGTTACCCCTGTCACATGTGTATTTGGGTGGAGAGGGATTTCTTTATTACTCAGCAGGTTAATTTAAGGAGTATTAGTTGGATCCTATAACTTTCCAATTAGGCAGGTTCTGCCATCCTAATGAGGGACAATGAGGAGATTATGCGACTCTTTTGTCTTGCAAAGCAGCGCCTTTCTTCTGCGGGTGTCACAAAGGTGTTTCTCAGCCCGCAGAATGGAGTTACTGTGGCTGATAAGTTTATTCAGGCACCGGAATAGTGTCGACAGGGAAAAGAAAGGAGAGGGCCAATGGTTGCTGGAGCGGTAGAGGGGTCACAGAAGCGGAGCGGCCTAAATTAGGCTCATCAATCTGTCCATTAATGCAAAGCTTCTCTCCATTGTTGAGTAGCCTGTAAAGCTGTCATTTGGTGGCAGTTGAGAGTTTTTAATGCCAAGCTGTCTGTGACACTCACTCCTCTCCCTTTCTCTCTGTTGATCATACTGCCACCTCACGCACCCCTTCATCTGCAGGGAAAGACATAGCCTGTTCACAGTAGACTGGCTAATTAGGCTTTATCCATTGTATACTCAAACAAAGGAAGGTGAAGGCAAATTAAACCAAATTCATTCATTTTTACAGTCCCCTTCCAAAAAATATTTTAAAAGCATAAAAAATTTAAAAACCATTTTATTTGAAAGCTGTTTGTCCTTTTTTGTTGTTGTTATCTATAGCGTGGTAATATTGAGTGTAGATCATGATTTTGGAACATGTCAGTGAAAAAGGAATGAGTTATTTGAAAGACTTCAGTTGCTTGAATGCTTTTTTATCCTTAGGCCAAAGCTGCAAACAAGTTCAGTCGAGGAGTATTTGATTTGTAGAGTGGCAGGGGCCATCTGCCCCGGTTTAGGGGGCCTGTCATTTACAATCTGTTTTTCAGCAAGTTCCTTCGACTGTTGCACATTTCCACATTGTACACTGCGCTGGATGAATTCTTTAATTTCATTCAACACTCCTTAGATATAACCTGCTCCTGATGTTTACTCAGACATTTCAAAAATGTGCCTCATCCAAATCGATATGATGACTACTCTAAGATTAAGTTCTGGGTAACTATTCACTGCTAATGGATAAATACAGGATTATTTTAATACCAATTCCACTTCCGCAGCATGAAGCCAACCATTTTAATTGCAATTAGTAACTTAGCAGCAAAAAACCAACCATTTTAATTGCAATTAGTAACTTATTAATTAATGATTCATGAGACAGTCTCAATGATATGGCAGGTCAAGTATGTATCAAATTGTTGCACTGTTGAGCACGTAATTCAAAGCTCCCTGATTTTCTTTGTCTAATTGCTACGTGTGTCTGAAAATATTGTCAGCTATTTATGAGGAAAAAGATGTATTTAACTTCTAGAGCGATGCCTCATCCAAGCTCATTTCCTTCTTGGGGTTTCAAAGAATATTTGCTCTTGGTAATGTGTTCTGTAAGGCAAATCTTACCTGGTTTAAAACACTAGGTATTTAACATGGTATCACAGAGAGGCAGATTTGTCGCATTTAAAATGTAGTTTTGAGCCTGAATCACTTTGTCACTGCATCACACACTATTTTCTGGTTGAATAAATCAGAAGTCAATTCTTCCCCACCTAGCCTAACCACAAGGAGACACAGAACAGTTGCTTGAGATACTGTACGACTCCAATTATATTCTGCCTCTGCACCAGAACATCTAACTTTCCTCAGGAAAACAGATGATGGAAAGTACATCAGCAAGCAATGAATTAATAGGTGGTATCTCATCAGGATCAAAATCAGTAAGCATTGCATGGTAGGCATTGCATTAGTGGACAGTTTATAAGAGGTTTAACTTGATTATTGCTGTCATATGTAACTAAGTACAGTGAAAAGTTTTGTTTTGCATGCAATACAAACAGATCAAAACATACAAGGACTTACAGATAGTAGGGTGTTTGAACAGAGCTAGGCATACAAGAAACTGTTTCACAGGAGGTATCCAAAAGCAAGATCCACACTAGATTTGAAATTTGAGATGTGATACATAATGGTGATATATCAGTGTGGCGGGGCGCGGGGAATACAGTTAATATATCGATACGGGACACTTGATATTTCAGTAGGGGATACAGGTAATACATACGTGTGAGACACAGTTGATATATTGATATGGGGCACAGTTAGCATATCCGTGTGGGACACAGTTGATATATTGATATGGGGCACAGTTAGCATATCCGTGTGGGACACAGTTGATATATCAATGCCATTCAGATTTATTAGGGGATACGATTGATACATCAGGACATGGGAGAGAAAATACAAGAATCGGTCCCTTACGCTGCACGGTCATTCTGCATCATTGCAGATTATACTTTAGTGATTAGCAAATACATTTTCACAGCAACTTGAAAATGTAACTGCGCAATTTTTTGAAATCCCCGAAAGGGGGCTGGGTGGGAATGCGGACTGCTCAGGGTACAGTCAGCACTGGTTCCCCAACTGTTGTTTAGAAAGCCGTCGATATTCGGGAATTTGGCAACGATTCTCCTGCACTTGTTTCCAACTGAAGCGGCTACTACGCACTGGGCAGTGAGGCGGGGTGTAGAGTTTTTCCAGGCTGCAGGGAGAGAGAGGGAGAGTGGGTGGGGGGTGGGGGGAGCGAATGTGGGATCCTCGTTGCAGACTGGCAGGGAGAGTTCATGCGGCTTTGCCGGGCCGGGAGGAGATGGGGAGGAGCTCTGTTGCTTTCACCCACCCACTGCAAGTGCTCACATTTCACCGCGCCGACTGGCTGCGCGGAGTGAAATCTGATCCCCCTCTCTCTCTCTCTTTTTCTCTCTCAGCCGTTGGCTGTGCTCTGGCAGTTAAAGTCAGCGAGCCAAGCTTTCACACACATACACACACACACATACACTCTCACTCATAACACAGCGTAAAGGGAGAGAGAGCTGCTTCCACACACACACACACACACAGGGAACAAGCAGCAATCCCTGAGGAACAGTGTCTGACTCTGAACCCAGTGAAGAAACAGCAGCTACCTCCTGCTCTCCTAACCTGGCATCTCTCCCTTCAAGGCAAAGAGCGGGCTAGAAAAAAAAAAGCAACCAACATTTATTTGTGTTTGTTTAAAGCAACCTGAGAGGCTCAAGGAGGCAAGTTGAAGAGAAAATGTACAGAGATCTCCGGTGAAAAGATCCAAGAGGTGTTACTGACTGAGTCAATGAGGCACGGGGCGGCTCGGTCTGACTTGCCGTTCCTGGAGCCGCTGACAAGTTTCCAGTCCACGGGCTTCACACTGGATTTACAAATGACTTGAAAATTTTCTCGACTTCTCTTCGTTTTTGCTGTTGAATCCGCTGGAGGGGAAAACCCTTGAAGGGAGATTCCTGACTGAATCGGATCAACAATTCGGGAGCATCAGTTTACTGGTCAGTAGAACTCCTTTTGAATTTCTCCACACACACTCGCCGCCCCAACCCTTCATTTTAATCTGAATGTGTTGTAATGGCCAGTTTGATCGGGCTCTGTCTGGGGGAGCTGTGCAGGACATCGCCTGAGGCCAGTCCACGTTGAGGTGGTGGACCCTGGGAGGTGTGTAGGAGAGCAGGGCTCACTCAGAAAGCCAACAGCAGCAGGAGAGGAACAAAAACAGAAGTTGCTGGAAAAAGCTCTGGCAGCATCTGTGAAGGAAAAATAAAATCAGAGTTAACGTTTCAGGTCCGGTGACCCTTCCTCAGAACAGATCCTTCTTCAACAGGAGAGGGACAGAGCAGGATGTAAACAGAGTTGGAGGGACGAAGGGAAGCACAGAGATTTGACAAGGAGTGAACTCCATGTGAGTGCATGTAACCAACACACGCTGACAGAACCCCCGGAGCTTGTTCTGCCTAGAGCCGGCTTGTTAAAGCTGCTAGTATCATTTAAAAACATGTACGGTACAGAATTGGCGCAATACTTTGAAATAATTTTTAAAAAAAACAAAGTAACCGCGGGCGAATTGTGCATGGGATACGGCCCAGCATTTATTGCCCATCGCTAATTGCCCAGTTTACCACGTTGATGTGGGTCTGGAGTGACATATAGGCCAGACCAGGGAAGGAGGGCAAATGTTCCTTCCCTGAAGAGCATCAGCGAACCGAACATCTTTATAAAATAAAATAAGTTTACCATTAGACCTACTTTTAACTATTTCTATCTCAAAATATGTTTACTCATAAAAAAATCTTTATATATACATAGTCATAAACACAGTTCGGTTTTGTACAGTAGCATATCAAGGAAACAAACAAACACTGGAATTTGACAACTATTAACATCTCTGATCCCTATGAAATTCAAATTTCATCACATGTGACGGTGAGATTCGGGATCTTGTTTATAAAGCATGAACGGATTCCTCATCGAGTTACATTGCCCTGTGTCTCCGCTACGCTTTTGCAAACTTTTAATGTGATCCCAAGTGGCTCAATAATCGGATGTCAGCTTCCCCCTTTCCCCACTCCTCCCCCACCCACAAAAATACAAAATCAGCTGGATAACGGTATGGCCAGTTTTGTATTTAAAATGCGGTGTGGTGGGTGCATGGTGTAGTTGTTGGGAGTTCTGTGCTAGATCTCTCCAGGACATACAGAGCTCTCGGGCAGAGGCTGTCGCTACAAGCTGATCCGCTCCACGCTACAGCTTTCCACCTCAATTCATGGACCGAGGTTTATAGGTGGCACTCTGAACTGGAAACCCTAAACCCTGCTCCCTTCCAGCGGGTACCAGAAGCCTGTCCGCCTGGACAGATTCTATAAATGATCCCTTACCATTTGGCAGCTTCGCTTTGCCTGCAGGTTTATGTTCCTCATCAGTCGTCTCTCCTTCCCCAGGGTTTTAATCAAACAACTTTCAGAGATTCGCAATAGCCCCTTTGCAGTCAGCACCCGAAGAAGTGAGTTTTTAAAAGATTCCAAAAAGGAGTTGTGTTTGTCTGTGTGTGTGTGTGGGAGGGGGTGTTTGGGGAACGAGAAAATATTTGGGGAATTCGTTTCAATTGTCATATCGTTGACAAACATCATTAAATACCCCGAACTCTTGGCGAATGTTTACCGCAGATTGACTGATTTGGGTTAAATTCTCGGAGGCAGAATGTTAAGCTGCCGCTTGGTTTGATTTTAAATACAGTAAACCAAGCGTTCAAAGACAATCTTTCTTCAAACGTGAACTGCTTAACTTTTCATCCGTTGTACTTTACACTGAGGAAACTTCCAATGTTTTCTTTTTTTTAAATCAAATCTTTTTCCCCAGTGCCTTTCCAAACAAATTCCCCAAATTGCTGGTTTTGTTTGGATATGAAGATGTGATAAATCTTCAATAGACGATGATAAATCTCGGCAGGTCTCTCTCTCACTCCCTCACTGACACCCGATAACGTCACTGTGTTGTGTAAGTGGGGGGGGCTCCATCAGCGGTACTGGTGGTGCCTGCTCTCCACAAACAATATCCCTTTCCAAAAGCGACCTTTCACATTGTGTTTGACTTGGTATCAGCGTCAATGGCAATCTCACCACTGGAGGTGACTGAGGAGCGTGAGTCACCATGTGAAAAGTGGCGATTTGAGCTTTGGAGACATTAACCTCAGGGGGTATGAAGTGCTGACCCTGTCAGGATGGTGGTTTTGAGGAGAGGGAGGTGGGTACATGTCCACATTGCAAGCTTTCTGTGAAAGAGCTGGAAAAGTACAATCAACTGAACTCAGCATCAGCAGCCGGACAGATAGGTTGGGGTCAGGAGTGGTTTATGTTCATCGTGGCTTAAGGATGATGCTGTGCCTTCAGTTCTGCTCAGCTCTCTTCATTGTATGTTCAATATTGAGTGGTAAAACTTAGAAAAAAGGTGGATCAGAAATGTGCAAAAGGAAACAAAATTGTATGTGAAAAGATAGCTTGACATTTCGAGTATAACGCTCACTCTAAACCTCTTATCACCTCTCCAGAATGATTACTTTTCAAAGGTCTATAGCTGTCTATGAAAGGATTGTCAAAACTTTCTCTTCCAGATGTTGCCCTGACTCACTGTGTGTTTCCAGTAATTTTATTTTTCAAGAAGTGCATAGAATCTATGACGGGTACACACGTTGTGTGATGGAAAATATATGTTCAGAAACTTGTAAAAGGGAGCTCAGTGTGGAGACTGAAGACCTATTTACACTGCTCAGCATTTTTCAACTCCCCAGTGTAGTATTCAGCCTTATGGTTACACAGCGTGCCATTCTTCTGAATGTACAGTGCACTCCTGTGAGACTATTTCTACAATATTGTACACATTTATTAGCAACGTGGAGGAGTGAATGTGTGCTGTAAACAGAAACAGAGGCATGTGTGTAGAACAAAGAAAAACCTGCCAAGATAAAAAGGAGACACCTTCGGGGCACCTCAGATTAATGACATTGACTGAGGTGGGAAATAAATAATTAGCCAGTTAGCAGTTTGTGGTATGTGAGAGGAGAGCTAACATTTGCAGAATGGTACACTTCAGGAAAGAAAATGAGTCTTGTTGTACACCGAACGTACTGCAGGCAAACAAATCCTTTTTTGAAACAATCTGAGTTAATGGACTTTCTGTAATGAAAAGTATTTAAACTTTATTAAAAAAAAACAGCACTTTTCAAGATTGCTTTTTCCTTCCATTCTGCATACTTAGTCTTAATAAATTGGATTTCATAAAAGGTCAATTCAAAGAATCAAAATTAAACAGCTATGTCCTCAGCAATGGGATTTTCAAATAAAAATGATGTCTATTTTTGGTTCCCGTGTGCCACTGCAGCCTTGAAAAGGTAGCATCATTTTGACCGTGTAATCTGACCTGATAAAAATAAGCTGTTTGCCACCAAATCTAGGGCAAATAATTTTTGGTTGGATCATGTTTTCTCAATTTCAAAATCATTAAAGTGCATATCCCCCTTTGTCAGACTGTGGTACACCAGATAATTTCAGGCATGAGCAGCGATGAGGCATTGCTATTAGCAAGATATCCCCATGTTCGGGGCTGGGGGGAATGATTAACTGAGCAGCCTTCTCCCGATCATTGCATTACTGGTCGTGAATGCACGCATGTGTGTGTGTGTGTGTGAGAGAGAGACAGAGAGAGAGAATGCTATTTGGGGAGAGGGTCACATTTAGCTTTGATGTGTAAGATAGCTTACCAGCAACGAGGGACATTCTCACATGAACATTGGCCATTTGAATGAAGTACTAAAGGTCAACAAAAGCTCCATGTACGATATCCAAGTAAGTGGGTGGAAGCCTTAAAGAAAGGAGGAGCGTGGAAGAGAGAAAGTTGGGAAAAGATATATGGGATCCATTTAAAAATAATTCATAAATAACCTTTTCATTATCATCTCTCAGTTCTGTGATTTATTCTTGTCCTAGAATTAGCCAAACTGTCTCTGATTTGATACTTTCAAGAACACTGCTGTGATGAAGTGAAGAATTCTGCTGTGTAATCATAATGCAGATTCTTCCCTCCCATCTTACTGTATAAACTGGGGATGATTTAGGATAAGTCTGTGCTCTGTATTGAGTTAGCACAAAAGGCTTCCCCACCTTCATGCTACCAGAGGAGACAATGGGAAGAGTACACAAGAATGAATGTTTGAATGTGTTCGATAAAGAGTCCTGCATTGACCAGCCTTCACCTAATCATTGTCTAGACTCATAGGTAAAGAATGAGATTGTCGGTGAAGTGCCAGAAAGCTGTTACCCAACAAAAATGAGGAGGAGAGTAATAATTTATTAATGTTGGAGACGAAGGCAGAAAACTTTGGCAGAATCTCCACGGTAGATGTATAACATTTGGGGAAAAAAGTAATTAAAAGGGCAGAACTTGCATTTATATAGTCAAGGCATCCCAAAGTGCTTGACAACCAATCATGGTTTTTGAAGCTGTCAGACTGGAAATGCATTTTGACACAGCAGTCATGCTATACTGATTGATTGATTTAATGTCATGTGCACCAAAGTACGTGAAAAACTTGGTTTACAAGCAGTTCAGGCAGATCATACTAAGCAAAGATGTACAGATCAAAAAGACTTGGACAGGTTACATTGCACAGGGCTTGCAATAGGTGAGATCAACGTTAGCAAGATCAGTATTATTTGAAAAGAACATTATTAGTAATTTTTACAGATTTAGAATTTAAGTTTATAAGAACGGTTATAAGAAATGTGGGAGTTAGATCTGCTGGAGGGAGCTCGCAAGGAGTTGTACCGTGTTGGCATCATCTTGGATGGTTGTATATATCACTCTGTAGCAAAATATCATTTAAAACTGCGTAAATGTTGCAGGTTAGAATGCTACCTCAGTGAGTGTACCACTGATTGTTGAAACCATTAAAATTGCCCAGCCATTTCTGTGAAGCAAGTTCTTATGATTTCCCAGCAAAGGA